GCCTGCCCCTGCTGTTGGCCTGACTCCTGGGCACCATCTTCCAGCCAGGAGCAGAGCAGCCCCTCCAGGCCATTGAGGCAGTCAGCGGGCTCTTTGCTGAGGCTGAGTGGCTGGCAGTCCCGGAGGCAGGCTAGCAGTACCTCTGCTGTGACACCGCAGAGAGCTGGGTCACTGCGAGTCTGAGACTGCAAAAGGGGGAAGACGAGCAGCAGACCGACACGGGAGGTGAAGGGCGCCTGCTCTGGTTGCTGGAGCAGACCTTGTCTTTTGAGCAAGGCCAAGGTCTCCTCATCAGCCCCTCCAGTTCCCTCTCGCTCCTGCTGCTCCTCCAGGGCCAGCTGCCGCTGCGCCCCCCACAGGCCACGCAGAGCATTTAGACGGTACTCCAGCAGGCGTGCATATGCGTTGCTCTGATTCCCACAGACAGCACGTAGACGCTCTGCAAGCTCCACCGGGTTCTTCGTCTCAAATGTTAAAATCTGGAGGAAAGGGTAGATAGCAAGGAAGAATAGAAGGAAATAAGGCAAAAGTTTACATTAATAGCAGTCCCCACTGTGACACTTGGTCTGCAGCTTTTAGAAAAGAATAAACTTTAGAGATGGCAGGCAAGACAACATTTTTTAAGTCAGGGGGGATACTTTTTCAGAAATATTAATTCAAATATGACTTGATTTGAATTTTGGCTTGTGAAAAACACAACGTGTTCTACTTTACCTGAGAATAATTTAGCAGAACATTTGGCTTTATCACGTAGGCAGCATTTCAGATATTGATTACACTCTGTGGCGCACGAATCATGGACTAGAAAAAAATCCATTATACCATTTAGCAGGCACAATCCGTATTGATTCAGTTTCAGAAATGCTACTAATGTTACAGTAACACTCTTTAACTGGATGCTAGGCATTCTCCACCTTGCTCTGCAAATCACTGCTGCAAGTGGATAAAAATAGTCCGCATCACAACACACCTACGAAAACAACACAGAATGACCCAGTCACTGTTAAAGCTGGACACAGACAAGACCAGAAATGTAGAGAATCCAAACATAACTGAGAATAAAAAGACAAACCTATGATTTGGTATGAGCTACCACCTACATACATAAGTGGATGACATCAAGAAGACATGTTTACTCTATTTGTATTTCAGCTCTGCTTTACAAATGTGAAAATGCCCAGATTTTCCAACACAATATTAAACATAGTACTTTAATTAAATGACAATCTAATGAGTCTCACCCACAGTCTCACCCACATACAGCACGTTGCCATTTTTGTTTAGGCTAAATTATCCTAGGCATCCTGGGGATAATGTAACCATTCTTTGTATTTAATACAGTAGGCCCCAAAGTCATGGCATGTACAGGAGTTGAAAAATGTGATGACATAAAATGTCCATAGTGATAACAACTTTGTGTACCTTGTTGTAGGTCACCATGATTGTCATTGTTAGAATACTTACAAGGGAATGCTGCCAGCAAAGATTACACCAATGTAAGTACAGTAGAAAACTGCCCTGCTGCTTAACTAAACAGTGATACAATTAGCAACATCTTGTGCATTTTCCCAGGTGAAAAGTCCAGCTGTCACTTATCATGCCTTCAAAAGCACATCCACATAGTTTCTTCTTGAGCAGCTTAAACAAAAAGCATAAGTTCAGAAGCTGTGTTACTGCATGTCCATTCTGCTGAGCTTAACAAAATGAAAAAAGAAGAGTGAGGGGTCAAATTCAAACCTGCCCATTCACGTTCATTAATTAACCAGTAGTTTGTCATCTGTCAGACCTGCTGATTGAACATATGGACTAATATTAGCAAAAATAAATGGCATGTGGCTGATTGCAGAATAGTTAAAGAGCGATCCAAACAGCCCTGCTGTTATGCAGCTGTTGTGTTTCTAACACTAGTGGTAATATTATAATAGATCATAGCTTATTACGGTATGAATACTAGTACTGAATATAATGTTGAACTGAAGAAAGAGAATGATTTTGATCATTTTTAGCACCAGCAAAAGATTTTGGTCAGTAGGTTAGAAGTTAGGACAAAAGAGGTTATGCTGTAGTAATACAACCAGCTTAATTTGTACAGTTGAATGCACGCAGCTGTACATTGTACAAATTAAATCAAGCAGGCAGTGTCTGTTGATGAGCACAAAAGCCTTACACCAATCTGTGCATACTCCCTGTGTAAAAAACATTTCCCACTATGAAGTGTGGAACTGTGCCAACAAGCCACTTCTCCCATCATACAGCTATGAGCACACTGTTAGACCATACTCTACAACAAACCCAGTGAAAGTTTATTTACTTAGCTTGCTATATTATGTTGACCAAATAAAATCTTTTCATAGTAAATCACCTTTAAAAAGACATTTGTTCACCTAAACCAGGAATTTGCAAGCATACACAAGTGACATAAACATCATCAAGTGGAGAGCCTGAATTGGGAATGGCTGCTTGCAGAAATGGCAAAAATTAGATAATGGTACTAGGCATAGTATGGCTAACATACAGTATCGTTAATGTTAGAGTTTTTCCATCACTTTCAAATGTTTTTCCATCACTAATGTTTATCATTCTCTACCACCGACCAGACAATAGCTCATGGACATGTGACATGAGTACTGCGGCAAATGTACTCTACAGACTACGAGTTCTAGCTTTATGACATGGTAGAGTACCGAAATATCGAGGACGCAACATTGTTTAGGTCGAAGTTTCCATCTGCATCACTGTAAAGTTTCCTCCATCTACCAACAAAGGCACGTCCGGTTTAGATTTTGCCTTCAAAATAAAAGCCTACATTCAAGGAAAAAAACATGTTACGGTACATTAACCGCTGAAATTATTTCCTGCCTTGCACAAGGTACAAAACTCTTTTTATATTGGTGCATAAATGTAACAGTAGAATAAATGTAGCAAATTGTACACAAAAACCCACCGAGTCATGCACAATGTATGACATAACATAGCTTCTTTGTTGTTTAAATCTCATACTGTTGAGTATGCGACACTTGACATCGATCACAAAACACTTGAGATTAAGTGCTGTATGAAGTGGTGTTGCTGCAGCTCCACTAATTTACTCCAATACCTCAAGAGCTATGTCATCTTCAGTTATCAAAAGTCTGTGGATTATCAGCTACAAAAGCCTAGATGTTGAGAGTAATGATCTCCACACGGCCATTTATGGATCCAAAGAAATGTTTACCGTTTGGTGCAGTTTGAGAAGTTGGCCCCCGCATAGGAAAGCTGCTGCACTGGTGCTACTAATAAAGTTGAAGCTGTGCAACTTGACACCTGAGGTTCAGAGGTGACACGAGGTATGCGCCATCTAATATGCAGATTGGGTTATTTGTATACAATATTAGATAGCAAATCAAACATAGTTTTAACCTCCACACATTGCTGCAATTGCGATTAGATTACAGCCGTTCGGCTTGCATAACTTATATTTTGAAAGAAGCGGCAGAAAGTGAGTGGACAACGGGTGCTTCCTTGACAGTGGGTCAATAACACAGGGCAGGAAACTTGCAAACGTTAGCGCTGCCGTTATCTCTTGAGGGTGTGTTGCAGCTGATAGTGAAACCACATGTATAAGTTACATTAAAAACAAAACAACAAAAATACACCCTTATCAAAACAGCAATCGTATGTTTCCATATATAAACCTTTGTGTATGTGTGAGATTGCTTTTACCCACCTCTTGCTCGGTGTCACCCTGCTCCGACACTCCAATTTCACTGGGCAGTTCGGCCAGATCTGTGACCCGAATGAGTCCGTCGTGGAGGAAAATGGTCTCCTCCTTCACCGAAAGCCACTGGGACGAATCCACGGCCCCGGAGCCCATCGCTCTCTCCTCCGACAGTGATGCCAAAGGGGTCGAACATTAAAAATTCAGTAACAGAATGACAGAAACGCCCTAGCTGTCCTGCTAGCGAGCTACAATAACATAACTGCCATTACTGTCGCCGTTTTTTCTGACGATGGCCTTTGGCAGAACAGACTGTGGTAAGTTACTAAGGTGCAAGCTAACGGAGGACAGCCAAGCGCTGAAGAGGCAGTGAGGGCAGCTCCTCTTCACATAACATGGGTGGTCGTGTCGTGCTAACAGTGGTGGCTAGCTGTCTGGCTTGGAGCTAACTTACCGTACGGTATCGTTATAACGTTACCGAGAAGAGTGGGCGTGACACCCGTACTAAATCCGTTATTGCGCCGCACGGTTAAAACAACAGTCTTTTCAGGACAAAGACTGCATCTGTAGTAAGCTCATTTCACAGATAAATCTAGCTCCGCTAACGGCCCAGCCGCTGTGTCAGTAGCTGGAGAGGATAATGAGTGTCTCCCAGCTGTCAGTGCGACGCCATGTTTCCAAGGCCAACGAGCTGCTCCCAGCATGCACCGCGGCCCAGAATAAAAGCTGTCAAGAATTCACGAGCTGGTTTTGGTGTCTTTGGTGCCACAACTTATTGTTGTGATAATAAGACAGGAGACAGTGATCATGATCATCTTAAATCAAACCATGGAACCATTGGGGTTTTAGCCTATATTTAAATATATTATATTGTGGATTTATTTTGTTTATTTTGTTTGTCTGTTTTTATTGTGTGTTTTTTGGACCGGGTGTGTCCTTACTAAAAGTTTTGATTGATTGAAACGTCAGGGTTGGGAGTAGGAGTCATTGTTACCTGTCATTTTCATAGACTGTACACATCAGACCACAGTGCAGATAGTTCATGCAACTGTGTCATCCTTGACAGGTAATTTAATGCACCTTGACGTCAAACTAACTGAACTTGCAGCAGGGGGCATAAACCTAGAGGGGACTGTAACTAAGGTCTGTATGTGTCAATCTATCATTATAATCCTATAAAGGATTATAATACATATAAAGAGATACATGCAAAACAAGTGAAGAACAAAAACAATCAGAATACACCATCAGTATGGAACCCAATGTCAAAAATAAGTCCATAAAATTGTCTAGTTGAACAGGAATGGATCATACAATTTATTTCACATATCTGATGTAATCAATTTCCATCTCTCATACCTTGTAAAGAAGAAGATACACTGATGCAACACATTGCAAGAGCTGGAGACTATAAAATGAAAGGACAGATGGGATGCACATTGAAGCGGTTGCAGTTCTCACAAATAGTTTTTCATATCAGGGTGTTTTACAGTATGTAGTAAAATATATTTTACTGTATAATAGATTACAAAATAAGAGGACGGTAGGCCTACAGATCACACTACAATGTTTGTTTCCAATAATTAATAAGTATTCCTTAAGTTATGACGTGAACCAATAATTTCTTATTTGTTGTGTATTGTCTTGGAAAGCAGTAGATCTAGTTATATTTTTTTCATATTTTATCAATATGCAGTGCAGATATTAGAATGCCACCCCGTGATCATCTGTGAAAATGCCCCTGACACATTAAATTTAAATCAATTACTAAATTCAAACATAAACACAAAATAAATACTTTTATTACATTTTCAATGCACAATCTGATTTTCAGTTTTATATTACTGTTCTTTACATTAAATATACATCCACGGCATACTTACAAATATATTATATATAGTACATGGTTTGAGTCCTTGAATATATCCTACATACTGCCATTTTTTACACAATCAGAGAAACAGAAAATGCCCAAAATGTGTTGTTTATAAAATTCATTGTTGCTGGACAAGGCAGCTTAGTCTATGAATCATGTGAGTTGTGCCATAATATCATATTCTCTTTCCAGCCTTAGGCATCGCTTATAAAGGCGAACAGGAATCCCTCTTTTCCTGTCATCGCTTGAATTTCGCACCAGAGCAGCGTCTCTTTCCTCCATCTTCTTAAGTGCTCGAAGTAGGTCAGAGGCTTTAGTGAAGCCTCCAGAACAGCTACAATAGAAACATGTAAAAAGTATCAGAAACAGAACCCCACCTATTAATCTGTTATATAAGCAAACTGTGCAAACACATTAGACAGGAGACTGGCACTGCTATAACCAAAGGTTGTCTGAGATTAACATGAATAAGCGTATCAGAGCTTAAAACCTTTTTCTACTGTGGCACTTTTTCTGCTTTGGCAGTTTAAAGCAGTACTGAGAGACGAAGTCCATCAGTAGCCTGGGGAGAGTACTGGGTTGCTTGAAGATTTCAATCTGAACCGCCAAGCTGTAAAATTGACAAAAAGACAAGCAGAGGTCATTTACAACCTCCCATACAGAAATAAAGTGAGAATAGGACAGAAATTAAACAATATAGCATAATGTGTATGCATTTGTAAGTGGCTCAGAGAGAAGGAGACACAGATAAAGAAAGAGAAAGCTGCCTGTGGGGGCAGGCACAAGGTCTACCTTGTGAATATTAAAGGAGGTTTGGCTTGCCCTTCCCAATGCGCTTTTAATGTGAGTGAGGGGCGACAAGATCCACAGTTCATGTTCAATACAAAAATGTATTCAAATCCTTATCCTTAAGGTAAAAAACAGTTTTGCTATTTATATTTGCACCTGACAACTGTTGAAGACAGACTTGAAAAGTCATGAACCTATCCCCTAAGGGTTCCATGTCATGCTAGTGAGCCAGCTGCTGCAGTTTGCCCTGCTGTGACATGTCAAAATATCTGCTGTGAAAATGCCTATTGTGCACACCGGTTCACACTCTCATAGCTTAGTGGGACACTTAATTGAACAAGCCATTTTTAGTGTTAATAGTAACCCCTGTGCATTTCCTACTATGATAAGTCTCATTGTCTGCTGTGAAAAAGGCCTATCTTTTCTCTATATCTTTCATAACCTTGCCCCTATTGCCAAAGTTTAGGCAAATATGCCTGCAGTTTATTATTACACTGTACTCCCTGTATCATAGAGACTGTGGACACTCTGCTGGAATCAGCTTTGTAACTTACAATGGCACCACCACAGTAAGAGCCTTAACAATGTTCTTTCAATAAAAAGAAGAAAAAACCTCCTGTACCTCATTTAGACCTTCTATGACATTTTGCTCAGAGTTGCCTTGGTTACTTCATCTCACTGCAGCCTGAACCTTGCTCAGGAATGTAAAACACAGTCATAATGGATTATTGGGATAAAAACCTTTAGTTTGGCTGGTTCCAAAGTTGTGTAAAGCTTTTATTTCCTTGGCTTCTGTGGACTAAATTAAGCTGTTTCCAGGGGTATGAATAATGTTATGCTATTGATAGTGTGGCCAAAACAAACAAGAATGGCCGCAAACCAGTCACTTCTTGTTGTCCCTAAAACACGGCTCAAGAACAGCGAGGATCGAGCTTTCTCAGTCGCAGCCCCGAGACTGTGGAATGAATTGCCTCTTCATGTCAGACTGGCCCCCTGGCCTTCCAGTTTTTAAATCGCGACTTCAAACAAATTTTTACTCCTTGGCTTTTAATCCGGGATGAGAGCTGTATGTTGCTGTTTTTTTAGGGTTGTGTTTGTTTATTTATTGATTTATGTCAATGTACAGCACTTTGGTTAACCTGGTTGTTTTTAAATGTGCTTTTAAAATAAAGATTGGATTGGATAATTTCAGGGGAAAAAAGACTGAAAGACAGAAATTCTGTTAAGTTACCGGCTGGTACAATGACAGTTGTAGGCAGTCTTTGACTCCATGTTCTGCAGATCATACTTCTTCTCCAAAGGAGGGATTTTGTATTTACAATCATCCAGATGTTTGAGGCTTCTACACAGGCGCTGATTGTCTGCAGGAGCAAGCATAAACACTGGTTATCTCACAAATTTGTGTACCCACATTTCTTAAGAGAACTGAATTTAATCACCTACTGATATGCATCTTGTGCTACAAAAGCTTAACACTCCCATTTTACTTTCAGGATTTTTAGTAAGCTGTCATCAGTGGTGACAATTAGCATTCTGTCTCACCTCTAGGGGGCATAGCTAGATAGCCTGGTAGCTCCTTAAAAAGGAATGCCATGGGCCACCTTTTTAGTTTCAGTTCAAGTTGGAATACTACGACTAATAAAGAAATTGTTCTGAAGAGATGTCTTTCTTGCTGCAGCAGAAGAGATGCAAGACTCACTGAACTTCCTATACTCACCTGTCATATTATGTAATGCAATATTTTGTTTCAGGCCTCGCTTTGTTTCTGTGTTTTGGGCTTGGGTTGCACCCATGGGCTCCTGGCTCTTGTAATTCCATAGTAGATGGGAATCCACCTGCTTTAGTGGCTTGTCATCTTTATGAATGGAGGCTGCTGTCTTTAGTTTTGTTGTGACTAGTGTAGCAGAGGAAGCTGTACTCTGGAGTGTTTTCAAAGTGTCTTCCTTGGGTGTTTCTGTTGTCTTTTTGGGCTGCAGTGTCTCAAGAGTTGACACTTCGATCTGTAATCCGTATGTAGTTGTAGACGGTGTAACAGTTGCCTTGTGAGATTTTGTTTTTTGTTCAAGACAACTTTTACAATGAGGCTGAGAAGTGTCACCTTTCAGAGGGATCCCGAGTCCACAACAGCGACTTAGTTTTGAAACTTTTTTGTGAGTTTTGGTCGCTTCTGTGATGGCTCTTGGCAAGTGTAGCTGGAGTGCTGGCTTCAGTGTTAAAGATGGGGCACTCGTTGTTGCAGATGTTGTTTGTGGATAAGAGTTTGCGGTCACCTGTGGTGGAAATTGGCTTTGCTGTGTCAGATAAGCCAACAGCCCCTTTTTGGTGCTCTTCTCTTTTCCAGTTCTTTTTTTATTTGACATCAATGCTTTACTATTAGAAGCATTTATAAGAGCCTTTTTCATTGAAACAATAGTGGTGGGTGCTCTTGATATTGGGGGCATTTGGGATGGTGCTACTGTATTGAATTTCTGGTGTCTTTTACATCCTTTCCCCATTGTCCTTCGGCGGTAGAAAGTGTCTCCTCTGGGTGGTTCTCTGGAGTTACATCTTTGTTTGCTTTTGGTAACGTGCTTCCCCTCACTACTTGTTAAGTTGTTGCTGTCAGCGTTGTCTCCATATTTGCGTGCAACATCAGAGGTGTTGTAAAGAAGGGGGCTTTTGAAGATAGCATATGGAGCCTCTTTGGCAACTTTGCACCTAAGGAGAGTAAACATGTATGTTAAATCCATAATAATAAAATAATAAGTAGAATATTATTTAAATTGTATTGTATATGTGAAGTATTTTCAACTTATACAGACCACATTTCTTGCATAATTATTCATTAATTTACTAATGCAAGAAAAAAGGTTAACCATGAATCAATTCTGGTTAGTAAGACTATTTGTTGCGGAAACAGAGCAGAGGTATGGCACAGTGCCCTTCTTGATTTTATGAGGTTTGGCAGAGTGTCAGTCTGCTGCTCTAGCTTCCTGCATCCATAGCTGCACTTTCCACTGAACAAATTTCTTGAGTTACAGTATGGTATGCACTCACTGTTGTGTCTAATACACAGTTGAAGCAACAAGCAACAATGTCAGTGCTTCTCTTACATTCCCCACCAGTACATCTCAGTGCATCTCTTCTGCTGTTTGAGCTCAAAGCAGGGAACCCGCAGAATGTTGAAGAAGCTGTAGCCAACCATACTGGAAATGGTGTCATTCACACCAAGAAGGCACTGTCGAAACCTGGTGAGAGGCAGAAAAAGAAAACAAGCCCAGGTCAAGCAACAGTCCAGTCAAAATGAACAGGCACACACACACACACACACACACACACACACACACTCACACAGGTTAAATATCCTTGAATGCTGCCTCATTTAGGTCAGATCTTTTGGGTAGACCAATCAGTTCAGAACATCTAATAACCTTTTAGCTGAGAGGGAAATTCTTGTGGATGAACCCCAAATTAGAAGGTGAACATATTGCTCATGCACCTGTCAGCTCTAGATCTGAAGTGAGAATGAGGCAGCCATCTCTGCAGGTTAAAAAACAATAGAAGGAGGTTGGAATGCCCTGCAAAAATAGTGAAAGACATGTTCACTCTTGACTTAAAATATGTATCCGTAGGGCTGATTGCAGTGATGTATTTATTACTGCTGCATGAATGGGAATATGGTCCATGTTTCTTCTGCCTAAATCACTTTATATTTATTGGCATAGTGACAAAATGATATCATACTAGCATTCCAGAAAGGAGCAAACTTTCATTAGTAAGAAGTGGAAGGTTTAAGTTATTCCTCAACACTTAAATTCAGCCTTCGAGTAGGTCTATCCTTACTTGACCATCCATGGTAGCCAAAGCAGTATGTGGACAGGTCACAGGAATTCCCTGGGGTGTGCATTCTGAGGCTCACCTTTGGTCACAGTCACAGTGTGAGACGGTGAAGAATTTGGGGTTGAAGACTCCATAATTCACTGTGAAAGATGGAATGATATGCAGACAGTGGTCGTGCTCACGGCAGCATCTATCTACACTCTCAAACATCCCTGTGCAGGAAGACAAAATTTGAATTTAGCTTCATATCAAAGGACACTTCGTACAGAAGCAAGTCCTCAAGCAGAAATCACTGCCTGATTTAAAATCAAAAAGCTTCAAAGACAGTTGTGAAAATTGAAAATGTACAGGTTGTAAAACCAAGATCATTTAAAGAACATACCAAGTCACATCTTTTTGATGTGACTCACATAAGAATGTCCAGCAGACTTTCAAATTATATTTCTTATGATGTATGTTTCAATTTATTCTCATTTCTCTTGTATTTCTATTGTATTTTGTACAATAAATGTAACCATCATGTCCATCCTAAGACACTTTGTGGCATGCTGACTACATCACAATTTCAAACAACATTTGATATAAATTCAATTCACTTCAATTAAATTCAAGAAGACTTATCTTCTTATAATCCTATTTGATCTACATTTGATATCACTCCAAAATGTCAATGCAAATGGTTCTCTGTTTATTAAGGAAGCCTATAGGGGACTATATTGAAATGATAATGAAAACTTGAAAATGAAAATGCTATTCCACAATAGCATTATAATTGTCCACAGGAAAAGACCATGATGACACGTAAATGGAATAGACTGGGGGTGCTATTTTGCTAATTGCATTTGAATATTGTCCACTGTACAGCAGGTAAAAACATTCATAGGTAACTTTTAAATCCTGATATTCCAATCTGTGGGAAAATCCATTTCCTCTGTCTCCTTCTCATGCTCCTAATGGCATTTGCAAGAATCCACCACTCCAGAGTTAAAGCAACCAATCAGAGTCAGGGGGGTCATTAACATAGTGTAAATCATGGCTTGTGCACATGCTGCTTTTACTTTTTACTCAAATAACACAGATGTGTAAAATTATAGTGTTTTGTGGAATTACATTACACACAATTACAATTCAAGTTTATATTATCATTTTAATATAGTCCCCTATAGGCTTCTATAGTTTATGGTGTTTTGCCAGTGATATTTGTCTGATGCTCATGTGGTAGTCAATATTGTAATCACTGCACTTAAATTTATACATACTGTATGATATATGTATAATAAATAATTTATAATAATTGTATCTCATATTGTGTTAATCTACAGTATTATAGGAAGTGCTGCTGAAGTAAGAGGTGGTGACAGTTTCAGGGACAAACAGCTGGAGAGAGCCCCTGAAACTCCCCACAGGTGACCACAAACTCTTAACCACATTCTTTCAGAGGGCCCAGACTTGCTACGGCTGTTAGTATATTGTAGCTATAGGCCAACATGGAAATGACACTGTTCATTAACAAGTACTGCTATGTCTCCTCTGACAACCAATGTCCTAATACAACAAATAACCTGTATCAGCAGGGGAAGCACATAAAATCAAAATCCACAGCCCTCACCTAACTGTTCATATCCGATCGCTTTGCTTCCAGTGCCGCACCACAGCGTCCCTGGAAATATCCAGGCGCGTTTTCTCCGCGCTCTCCCCTCTGTCCCATCTCTTCGCCTGGTGAACCTTGGCGCACTGGAGGAGACAAGTGCGCAGGGAGCCTCCGGAGCCAACAACGCACTGATGTTAAACCTCTGGATGACTTCTTCTTCTTGACCCCGGCTGTCGATTCTGTCGCAAATAGCACGGTATCTTTCTGTGACTCGTGGGTCGGTGTTTAATTCGCACGTTACCAATCGCATGTCTTCGGACCACAGGCTGAGGTACAGGGAGCGCACGCCGGCCGTGTCCCCTCGCAGAAACGTGACGCTCGTCTGTCCGTCGTCTGCAGGACGCAATCTGAGACAGGAGTGACCTGATCCTATCACATCTTGTACTTCTGATGAAATTAGGAATGTTAAGATGAAAATAACTTGTAGTAGGCATATGCCTTGCATCTCAATGTAAAATGGAGTTTTAATCAATACAGCTGAATGGTTAAAATAACGTCTTAATGGACGAGTTGTCACATTAATTGTAGAATAGGTGCAGGCTACTCCTGCACCAGCTGGTTTATAGGCGTCTGTCTGTAGGGGTAAAGCGTTTTCTCATAGGTCTGCATATGGACGCTCGTCAGAAATATGACACTCCTCCCTTTTGCGGGTTTGTGTATGAGAGCGAGTGGATACACTACACAGACATGGTTGGATTTATGCATTTGCATGCATATACATTAAGGAAAAAACATTTAGGAAATAACTGCATTATAGATAGAAGTTAGCATATAGATTCCAAGTTTAAACAAATAGACAAATCAGTGGCCATTTCTCAGAGTAACGCATAGCCTATCTGATTTTGTGCAGTTTATCAACCTAATGGTATCGCAAAGGACATAGCCCATATCTCCACTAAGATTTAAGACAGAGCTGCCTTAACAAGTAGAAGTTTCAAGCAGAGGCAGAATAACAGGACAGATATGCTGGTAAAGTGTGGCAAATAAAATGTCTGAGCTGACCTGACCTGGTTTTACCACAATAGACCTATTGTTTGGATTCAAAGTGGCTATATGTGTAAAAGTGATTTTATGCACAATGGCATTAACAACATTATGATATCATCAAAGCCAAGGGCTTCACTTTGTGTTGAAAAGTGGTGGGGACATTTAACATCATATTGGGGATGTGACAAAACACTTGGTCCACTAGACAATATTGGAGTTAGGAGAACAAGACAACGAGATACTCCAATACTATTTAGAATAAATGTTCATTGATGAAATATTCAATTGGGGGGGTCTAGGGGTCCTAACCCATAAGAATTTGAGCATTAGACTCTTAATTTCCTGCATTTTAGAGACATTTTATGCAATTTATGGTGGAATTTTTAAAATGTATTTATATGAAGGGAAACAGATTCAAGTGGCCAGTGACAAATCAGAATATACAAAATATAATCGAACACAACGCAGTAATCAGCAGCTTGTTTTTTTAGCCTAAGTGACTTTTTTTGGAAAAGACAGAACTGTTTCTTCTATTTTCAAATTGCATTAAATGTTTTCTTATTGTGCAAGTAAACCTTTCTCATAGAATTTTTGTTATTTAACATTTCTTGTTGCAAGCCAATTTTCAGAAAACATTTAGCAAATGCTTTCAAACAGTGGTGGGGACTAAATCTGCCATTTTAAAAAGTGGTTAAAAGAATTTAAAGAAGTTTGTACACACATGCACACACACAAGACTTGTCAGATTTCATTAGATTTTATTGATCTGTGTAAACTCTCTGCAAAATCTTTACATGCAAAGTTATTTGCAAACATACATATTTCCAGTGCATGCACTAACTATGTACAAATACAGAGATAAACCAGGAAACATTCCACTAAACTGGCAGACTCAAGTAGAAGACAGCTATGAATGTATCTCAGAGAGAAGCCTGTTTAAAAAAAATATTGATTATAATTTATCATGATCATCATCAGATGATCGCAGTAGCTAAAGTAGCACAGCATAGGGCAGTATGTGATGCTACTGGTGGGTCTTTGAATCACTGCCACAGTGGGGTTGAGTGGCAGAGAAGAACAAGACACTGGAGAGATTTGAATATGTATATACAGAAAGCCTCATTCAAAGAATGAGATCCACCTCACTATCTGCTGCTGATAGAGATGAAAATATTTTGTTGGTGTGCTCAGTTGCTTATCAGTCTATCTGTGGATGCGATCAGTTTATTCAGATTACACCATAGTCACCATAGTCATGCAGAATATGGCCTCTTGTATACAAAGTATTAACAGGAATGTTATGGAGAAGTGTAAACATTAATGGAATTACAATAGCATTAATTTCTTACTAATATTTTATATATATATATATATATATATATATATATATATATATATATACACATATATCTTGAACCACAAGACACTTCATGCATAGGATTTTTTGTTTTTGTCTTTGTTTTGACATTGGAATAACTTGCAAACAGCTGTATAAATTGAGGTCATTCCACTTTGTAAGGTGTGCTTTCCTTGGTTTGCTGTAATTAGTGAACAAACACACACTAAAGCCTTGAATGATTGGGGTGTGGCAGAGGGGAAAGAGCCCTGCTTTGTGCAAAATGTGCGTTGGAGTAAAAGCCGGCCATGACTCCTCCAGACACGGCAGTCACAAGCACAGTGCATGCAGGTAAAGCTGCACATACTTATGACATAACCTGTTCCACCTTCTCTCTTTGTTAAAGGGGGCAGCCACGCGGTTTAGGGAAACATGTGAGAGATCTGGCCGTGTGCATTCAGTGTAAACACTACAGTAGAAAACCTCAGCGTGACCAAGTGAGCCCCAAGCTTCTGAAGAGTAGAGGTAGCAGGAGGAAAATTCTTTTTCCTGCCAATTCTCACTGTAACTAAGAAAAATAATTGTTCACTTTTCAGTTTCTCCAATTACACAGTTAATACTTCCCCCAAATCAAAAGTCACAGCTTGAATAAACATACATAAAAAGTCCGAATATTTCACTAGGTGTGCTATAATTTTAAATCACAAATTAACATCAACTGATAAAAGATTCATCCAGCTCATGGTCCACTGACTGATGAATCATCCGTGTATCAGATGTCTATCCTAACCTGAGCCATGTATCAGTATGTAAACATTTTGTCATGGAAATATACAATATGTTCAAGACAGTGGGCACAGTTGAAATATTTAAAGGCGCAGCTGCATGTTTTCTTATGTCTGTGGCTTCGCATGCTTATACAGTTCAAGTGTTACACTACAGCATGATGTAATCACACGACAAATCAAATAAATAGTATCCTTTCAGACATGAGCTTAATCGAGGATTTTATGACTTTGAACAATGGTTTTCACTTCAGGTGACATAACAAATTGCTATTCTTGTTCTGTGCCAGTGCAATTCAAACTTCATTTTCTTTAGCAAAGAATGGGTCAAGTTCAGCACGCTATATAACATCACCGATGGGCATGATGGTCCTCGTGCAGCTGATCGTTGACAGATGTCTTGGTTACATTAGTAAAATCTCTAATTGATTTATGACATGATTTGTCCCAGAGGCAGATTAAATATCAGCACAGGCACATACATTGTTAGTAAGAGGACAGGAAAGAAGAGTATACTATCACAGAAAAGGAAGAGAGTAAGCCTGTGTGATGGTCAGGTAGTGAAAGAACAATAACATTAAAAAAAGTGCAGTTAGGAGATGAATGCAGCTCATGCTGTATGGGGGGGGGGGTTAATCACTAGCAACATGATTCTCAATATACAAGGTGTGCCAACGCTCAATCTTCTTGTCCTTGTTCTTCAAACACTCATACCAGTGCTTCAGTCTCTCTCCTTTGGCAGAGATACCTAGCTGACACCCACCTGTCAGGAAGGAAGTGAGGTGTGAGCAGGTGTGAATTTCAGTTTTTTTATTTCACCAAAGCACTGACACCTATCAAATATTTACCGATGTAGTCGTTGGACTTCCCAATATCATAATCCCACACAGAGATATCTAAGGTCTTCTTGGCCAGTTCACTGTGTTTGATGTCATAGTTGAATTCCTGAAATTGGATTGAGACATAAACCCATCATTTTAAAAGCCACTTCCAACATTTTTCATAGCTGTAACATTTTCCAAATTGCAAAGAATGCAGTGACTGGGTAATAATTTGGGGATAAACATTTTTACCAATTGAAACCTTGAACTTTATTACAAACCTCATTAAACTCTGGGTTTAAAGTCCTCTTCTTGATTTGTGTTTTGCACTTGCCCTTCTTCCCCATGTCAGGTTTCAGACATCTGTGAATTGTATAGAATAAAATTTATGCCATTCTAGAGTCATACACTTGCACTTGCACTTGTCTACATGTACTTCTCCATCCTGCTCTACCTACATTTTGACATATGGGTCAGAGTAGCCATTAGCATCCATGGCAGCCAGGTGAACGCAGCGCACAACTCCCACAACGAGACGGTTCGTCTGGGTGTTGTACATGAGGGAGATCAGAATCCGACCCCGCTCCTCGACCTCGCCGCCATCTTTCCCTGACTGAGAAAGAGCAGGGGGGAGGGGGGGTAGTTTAGTGGGATTCAAGAAAAGATTTGTATGAACTACTGGAGGAATCTGTCATGTTCAGACATGCTTGGAAATAAAAGCGTTGCCTCATCTTCGTAGAGAGCGATGCCTCTGGCACCCCCGGCTGTTGCAGTTCTCTTCGTCTGTGAGGGGGAATGAGATTACAGCAGGTCAATAAGAGATTCAGACAAGGAGAACCAAGCATTGTTTGAATGTAATTGAGTTTCACTCACAGGGACAACTCTCTCGAGACACACGTTGAAGTTTTTCTTCTGGTTCATCTTCAGTTTCTTCAGCGCCACTCGGGTTTCCCCAATAAACTCATTATGTCCGAACTTGTCTTCATCACAGACAGACAGCCTGTGGAAATCAAAAGGGGAATCTTAATCACACGGACCTGTTCCACCTTTGGTCTAACACACAGTCAACTAAGGTCAGATTGAGTTATAAACAGCTGTTGCAGCTAAGTGAGGAGTTGAGTTTGACTGCCTGAGTGACAGTATCCACCTGAGGGTCTTGCGCTGCATGTCCTCATCGGTCAGGCCGTGGTAGGTGAGCGTCTCATTCCAAGCAGGGTTGCGGGTGTTTCTCAGGGTCTTTGTGCGCAGCTTGTTAGACTGTTAAATGCAGGGTAGATCAGGACATGGAAATGGAAATATCGAGGCAAGTTACCACTACACAATCTCTCACACATCTGTGGTTAGTGCTATTTTATCACAGGGAGTATCTACATGGTGCTGCTTCCCCATCAAAAAGTGTTTTTGTAACGCAGTCCTGCCCCATTCTCCACTACAGCACAGTGTGATAATACTACACTAACAATGTACATTCATGACAACTCTGACTTTATTTATAACCTCTCCGTATGTATGTATTTCTCGACATCATCCCAATCCAAATTTTATGATTTTGTCCATTCAAACCACAAGGTGTCAGGCTTGAGCTGGCAGAAAGGCCTCTCGTCAAACCACTCTTTCTTTTTTAATTAGATATGAACATAATACATTTTTCAAAAGAAGCAAAAGCTTAATGTAGGGAGGGTTGTTTTACCTTACTAGCCCCTGGCAGCAGATGAAGCTTGACATAAGGATCTGCCAGTCCGTTTGAGTCCATGGGCTTCAGTCCCTGAGGAAAAACAGTGCAGCCTGTCCGTCACATCATCATGAACAGTAGAGAGCAATTAAGCTAAAGTGCCATTCAGGAGCATTTAAACACAAACCACTTGATTGTAATTGTCCCTTTGTGTGAGAGAATGAGGAGAATAGTGGTACCTTTGCTTTGAGGATGCTACAGTGGAGGCTGTTGCTTTCCTGTTCATAGAGCAGACTGAACTCTAGAGAGCCCAGAGTGGCTGAAAGAGACACAGACCAGTCATTACATTAGACTACAGAGAAACAGCAAATTAGCTCTTGAATAATTAAGAGTATAAATACATGGAAATGGAAATCTTGTAGTCAAACAACACACAACTTGTGAATTGAAGTGACAATAAGCACCAGTCAAGAATGGATAGAAAGGATGAACAAAAATTCTAGGGAACACTCACAGCCTTCTATTTACCTTAAGTAAACATCAGAAAAATCTTATTAAAAGCAGGGGCATATAATATAAAATAAATCAAATAAACACTGAAGTCTCAAAGGAAGACATTCAGAAAAGAAGGTTCTGGGTAAAAAAGAAAAATACTGAAAAAGCTGCCCACACACATTTTCTTTGGAGGAATTTCATTGCCTAACATAGCTGTTGGGGGACAAAATAATCAGATGTCAGTTGTTAATTTTTCTTATTTAACTTGTCACAATAACACTGCTAACATGCTGATGTTTTGCAGGTATAATGTTTACCATGTTCACCATTTAAAATGTTAGCATGCTAACATTTGACTTAGCGCATGAGGCTGAGTGGAATCCCATTAGTTGCTTGCAGGGCTAAAAATGAGCAGCACATCATCCACCTTTATTTTATGATCAAATATATTAATAGATTTGATATACAACAACACACACACACTTTTAGAGATCAGACTTCAAATAATGATTATGAGACTATTCAGTCAAATTCAAGTCTTAGCAGAATGTTCTGTTATTTAACCCTACCCAACTAAATTATGTTGAACAGATGTTATGCATAGTATATTCATTTATTAAGCTACAACAACCAGGACTTGAGAGGAGAGAGGATGAGGATCTTGAGATCAACAACACTGAAACCAGTCAGCACCTCTGGACTTCACCATCATATCTCTATAGATGAGAGCAGGCACATTGGTAACCATTGGTATTTCTGCAATTTTCACTCCGAACAGAGGGGATTGGGTCAAACACATGGGGATTCTTTATCCTGTTGGCCCTTTTGTATCTCAAATTATTTGCACAGCTCCATATTCCCAGACCTTAATAAAACAAATTAACACCCAATCCCCCAGAGAGAGAATAAAGGCTGTTTGACGCTGCAGGCGCAGAACATGACTGGCATGTCACCATTCCCATCATCAAAATGGGCTATATGAAAAAAACTGTACAATTACATAGCTTATGTGTCACTATTGGTTTACTGATTCACATCGGCCTCTCCTGTAGATATTGGTTATCATGCTTATCATATGTAATTTTCTACCCAGGTCCCAGAATAATATTTACTATTTTCTAGGACAATTTAGCAATTTATAGGTATTAATTATTATCCAGCAGACTAAAAGGCAGAAGTCAAGCATCAACATGGTATTACTCAGAATCCCTAAGGGGAACAGAGATGCTGCTAAATGAAGGTAATCAACGCCCAGTAAGAAATAAGAAAGAAAATAGACTCATAAGCCACCTTACTCTATGAGAAGAGTGAGCAGATGGTGTACTCACTGGCTTCATCAGAGTCATAGTCATTGGCCTCCTCCTCCTCCTCAGCTGGGGGAGGTTGCTGCCGGGCAGGAGGAGCACTGTAGGCAGCGGGCTGCCTCCTGTCCTCTCTTGCTGCAGGAGGAGCTCTCTGCTCAGGAGGAACTCCACCAGAGGAGTAAGCCCCTCCATCGCCTGCCACTGGACATGCAACCACATTCAATTATCTGAGACTGCACGAAATAATACCACTGGGAATGCAATTTTTGGTTAAAGCTTGGGCACTGAGGACATGAGCCAAGGATTGTGTCCTAGCTGTCTCTCACCCTGCTGGGCCATGGTTGTCGATGCAGCCGGCTGTAGTCTGGAGCTCTGGACGGGCACCATCTTTTTCATCACCACTGGGCTGCCCTGCCCCGCCTCTTCAGAGCCAGCCCCACCCGCGGCCATGCGCACAACTGATGGTTTAGGGGCCACAGGTGGGTAACTATCACGGCCCTGTGGCTCCGGTCCTAAAAATAAGTATGAATAACATAATAATGTAAAAACTCAGACGCACACTATACATGAGGGAGACATGTATAACCACTTCAGGCTCCCACTGCAGTGGAATCTGTAATACTCCCTAGTCTCTCTGGATACTTTTGATGTTGCAGCTTTTTTGTTGCAAATGCACTGACCTACATACGCTACAACAAGCTGTGGCATCCGACTACTGTACATGCAGCGGCTATATATTTTGCCTATCTGCTCGAGCTACCCCTCTCTTTAATCGGGAAATCAGATTGCTCAGGTACTCAAGCTAAATGTGTGAAATGATACAATGTGACCCATCATGCCAGCACCACCTGGAGGCTCATCCCATGTCACAGCATGCACCTTCCGACAGCTTAATTGAGCTCTTCATCCCCTTCCTCTGCAACAGTGGGCGGTACAGCCAAATTTGGGAAGCAGATAAAAGGTGATAAAAGGTTTGAAAAAGAGCAATGACAGGTGGGGTTGCAGAAAGACTAGTGTGCAGATGCTGAGCTGATGAGACTGAAGAGGTCGTGCTTTGAAAAATTGTTTAAAGTCGAAATGAAATTAAAATTCCACACAGGGAGTGTGATTTCTTCACTCCTCATGTTACTCTGATTCCACGCATTATCCTGTGTCATGATTTGAATCATGAGGTCATCACCATATCTGGACCTATGAAAGAAAGACAGCTACACAGTCTTACAATGCAAAGTAGTCTACTGGTCTAAAAGCAAACCATCTCGCATCGATCCTGGCACTGATCCAGACTGTGATAAATGTCACCTAGGACCAGCTAATCTCACATGTTTTGGACTAGTTTTATCTCTATTTATTTACTGTAAGTCTGTAGTTGACTCACTCTCAGCCATCATCTCTGTTAACATCTATCCCTCACCCTTAGTTGGCCTGTTTGGTATCCTACCCACTGACCATTCACTGCCGTCCTATTTTGTTGACCTTGTAGCTTTTCTCACATTCCTAGCGAGGCATGTTATTGCACTGAAGTCCTGGTCCTCCCTCTCGAACCCACTGATGAATGTTGCATCCCAAAGGATTCCCTATCCTTCGTGAAATGAGAGAAAATGAACCACTCCCTTCGTGGTTTTAATGTAAAATTTTCGTTTAATTTAATTTTTGAAACTTGTCAGGTCCCTTCAGCTGGCCTGTACTGCAGCAACAACCTGAACCTTCTGGCCAAGTCACATTTTCTCCATGCTATGCCATGTATGTCTAGTATGTTGTCTCCAAAATGGAACTTTGTTATGCTGGTATTGCATTAATTCAGGCTAACTAGCTTGCACTTTCTGAGCAGAATCTAGTTAGCCTACCTTGCTAGCATTGCAAGTGGAATACAAACTTAACAACACAATGGTTCTTCCCAAATGTTGAATGTTATATCTTAAATACCAATATCAAACGCTTAATGTTTGTAGACTATACAGTACAGTGTTCTTGGAAATTGACAGCATGTCTCCTAGCAACACAGGCCAGATGTCAGTCTATATTTCCATAATAGGTCCAAAATGTGGTTATCACTGTCTGAAAATATTCTATTCTGAAAAATGGAAAAATATGCTGCGGTATGTAGATTAGTGCTATAGTACGGTATATTTTAGTTGGACTTTAGCACTTTAAGTTTACTACTTTGGCAGATCCCTTTTTTAAGCTTGCCTGAAACTTGCTGATCAGATGCAGGAGCACTATTCTGAGGGAGACATAATTGCTTTGGACAACAATCTAACAGATCATTCAGTTAATCAAAAATGGTGATGAGACCTGTCACCTAATGTAAAAATTCACACTAAAGCCAAAGGGTCAAATCTTGTCTGTGTCTACCTGGCTGTTGTGGTTGGTTTACTACCACCCTGGGCCCAGTGGTTGGTGGCCCCTGGTCCGGGAACCCCTGATCCGGGGCACCTGCCTCTCTTTGTTTAGATAATGGCATGGGAGATGGCAGGAAATGCTTAGGAAAACCTTTGAAGAACCAGGCACCAGACCTCTTCCACACCTGAGAAAACATTTATGTTATAGACTTTCAGCAGACAGTTTAACTCCTTTATTTGTCCACTGGCGTAAAGCACTCACCTCTCGCTGTTCTCTACAGATCTTGCATAGCCACACAGCGCGTGGACGACTGCTACACTGTGTACCACACTTAGTACACATGTTCTGCACAACAGGAGAAAATAAAGATTTCCAGCTGCTTATCATTTTGTTATTACAAATACACAGCAATCCTGTTTTCTCACCTTTTGTGTGAACTGCAGCAGAGAGAGTGTGTTGTTGTTTTTGCCTTGTAATCATTGGCTGGCTCATTACCTACCTTTTTGCAGTCCTCACACACCACTGAGCTGACTCCAGGTGAGCCCAGCTGCTCCCCACAGAGCAAACAGCGGGACTGTCCATCCCCACACACAGTCTTCTTCATGTCGTCCAGACGGTTTATCAAGCGCCTGCAGCAGCACAGGGTGAAATCATACTTAAAATGTCACTGTTAATTATCAATGTATGCATGTCACTCTTGTTTTACAGTCTCTCACCCAATTCTCTCCTGCTCCATGGCCTCCATTTTCTCAGCACGGGCGATCACACTGTTAATAATTTCTTTCTCTTCATCTGTCAGGTCTGGACCAGGACCAGGGCCTGGCTGCATGGTCCAGTTGCCCCTGTCAGCCAAACATATTCTCTAGTTGTGGATACATTGCTTCCATGATTTTACTACGTGAAGTTACAAAGCAGATATGCATGATGCAGATAACAGAGGTGGAGTAGGAGTTTGTCTACTTACTGCTCTTTATCCCTGTGTCACAGATCACACATCAGAGGGATGTAGGTGAAACAAAGGAGAGTACAGTGTAGGGTTGGTAGACTTGTAGAGAAGGCTAACAAAAATGTTCTAACAATTGTGCTTACCCAGCATGCATGCTCCTCTGCCTGTCGTTGGACACCAAGCGATCCGAGCTTCTGCTCATCACCGTGTCCGTCATGCTGCAGTATCACAGTCTGCAGGTGGACAAGAAAGAACAAGAAATAGTCAGACAACTCATTAAAAAAGAGCTCTTAATTTGGGTGGGAATTAATGGTTTTGCTAAGTCTAGTCAGAAACCATCAAATTCATGACTATGTTATGTGTCTTGAGTCCACACATTTAGAAATCCTCCATTCTTATCTCATGCAGCACTGACTTAACTGCCACCACGGGCTGCTCTCTCATCAAATAGGACATTTTGTACAAATTTGTATTTGTAATCAGGACACTGGTGACCTTAAATTAGCAAGTCACCAGATACACTTCCTTTAATTGCCACACTGCAATGTAGGCCTAAATAAGGTAGCTAATGATGACCTTACATAAAAACCAAAACTCTATTATAGTTTCCATGAAGCTAATCACCCCCCCCCCCCCCATCTACTTTCTTTCTATGAATGTACATATTAAGCCTGAAATAGCAACAACATATCAGCTACCAATGGCAATGTAGGCACGTTTCCTGGTGCCAAATTTACAGCCCAATCAGTACCATCTCCTCTTGCCAAGATTGTTTCATCAAATTCTTTCCACAGATATATTTAAGCAATAAATGGACACAGGACAACACTGCAAAAGGCATTACACAAACAAACAATACAAGCCGAAACTACGCTGACATACGTCGGTTCTAGCGGGGGTACAGCTGATTAGTATGAGTACAGCAAAGGAAAAAAAGCTTATGGCAAAGTAAGCCGGTGCCAGTAAGGCGGTGTGGGTCGTACATTTATGTGTGCTTTCCATGCCAGGGATAAAAGATAAGGTTGTACCAATTATTTTAGCAGTTGTGAGCAGAACTGTAAGGAATTTCCTCCAGTTTGTGACTCTACACGTATCAAAGAAACAGATGGTTCCATACAGCAGGACTGTCTCAATTATGCTTCGATACAGGAGGAGGAGGAGGAGGTGAGTTTGTACTGACAAGGATGACTAAGAGTCTTTGTCTCCAGCATCTGATTGTTCGTGGTGTGTTGGTTGGAACTGAGGCTTTATCCAAAGTGATGTCTGTGTATTTACAGTTCTCAACCACTTATACTCTTTCTCCACGGATGCTGGTGGGACGGTGTGTGTAGTCGGTCACTGGGGGGGTTGGCAAGGAGTTTATAAGATCTGTAAGAACGAAAACAGGACTGGATTAAAGAGTCACTGTTGCTGAGGAGTGTCTAAGAATGGCTGTGTCATCGGAGTATTTAAAAGTACGTGATGACAGGAGATACGCTTTTGCAGTCGTTTCTGTACATGGTGCAAAAAAACAAGCTGAAAGCCCAGTACTAATGATGACAGCTGGAAACAGTGAGTTGTCAACTGTATCCATGTGACACACCAGCAATGTGATTTAATCTCAAACCGACATGGTAAAGATGATACAAAGATGTCAACAAAAACTACTGAGGCGAGTGTCCATTGGGCAAGTCTGCTCAGTGTGTGTGTGTTTGTGGGTGCCCCTGCGCAATTGACTTAGAGCTGCTTCAAGTCTCTGCCAGACAATACATGGAGTGATGCTGCGGCAGCCACAGCTGGAGGATACAGCCGTGTATGACCTGAGGGGAAGTACAAGCAGTCAGAAAAGACCAGTGGGCTACGAAAAGGAGGTAGTAAAAGCCTCTCTGGAGTTTCAAATGTCCAGATTTGAGATGGTGCAGGATGAGCAGAGTGCAGGTACTGTATTGGAGAGAGTGGGTTGATACAGTAAAGAATGCATGATGATAAGGCTTAAAGGAAAATAAGTTTCACTTGTCTTCAGCTTTTCGCAGCAGCAAAATTCAGCCCTACCAAACCTTGGAGGAATTGAAAGACGGAGCAAAAGGGAGGGGTGCGCCACTGTCTCCCTCATTCAGCTGCTAGTATTATACTGCGTAGTGTCAGGCTACATACCTTTTGAGCTCTAATCTGTTACTGCTCTGCCTGCGGGATTCACAGAATAACAACAAATTTGCTGCGCTATCAATAGACACTCTGGGTGTGGGCTTTTCCCTCTGATGCTGCTGCATCTAGCCAACAGTGGCAACACAGTCCCCGGGGAGCAATGTCTTTTTCCACTTTTCAGCAGCACTCTGACAGTTCAGACGATGCTCTGACTGTACAGTACATATCATATACACAAGGCTCTCTAGCTTGGCCTTCCTTCACTTGCCAAAATGAGTTATCCCACTTTTGTCTAACGTGATTGTCCTGGAAAGGTGGATGGAGAGAGACAGATGGGAGGGGGTATTTAGACTTGGGCTGGATGATCACTGATTCAGAGGAGTCAGAGCTCTCTGGTGCTGAAGATAGACGTTGCTGCATCACTGAAGTGGAGTCTTTGCTGAGGTGACAACCCAATTAGCATTCAGGCGATAGTCTGAAGGATCGTCTGCACACTTTTCTCATAAAGAGCTGTCAGTGCAGGCTTTGATGCTTCAGACATAGAAAGGTACAGCTTGGTTTCATCTACTGTGCAGTCAAGAGAGGGATTTGTAACTTAAATAGTTTCAAATGTACATATTCAAAACTGTATCTGAGGCCAATTATAATGGACTGTTTCGACCAAAATGTCATTTTAAGCCTCGTTATTCTGCAGTTACGATTACATTAACCCTCAAACTGTCGTCCTCTGCGCTGTTGAGGTTATAAATGCAACTAATCTGCGTCATCTGTGACTCTGCCACAGTCATCTTGTAGAGGTTTTCCTCCCATATAAGATGACTCAGTCAGATGGTGAATTCTCCTCTGGGGAGCAGCAGATATTTTCCTCCGATTTCATCTGATGTCATGAAGCCTCCGTGACGTTGCTTTTCAGACGTGGCGATCTGTTAAGTGGTTCCCAGAAGTGTGCGAAGCAGTCACACAATAGTGTCTACAAAAACACCAGGCATGAATAGTAACAGACTGTGTGTGAAAAACCAGAATCTGCCCGACCAGCTAAGTCATCCACCCAGCAGGATCTCTCTTGTATAGAATTTCCTATGGAGGTGGAGAAGACCAGTTTGGAAACCTGTGTCTCCTCCTCAAGGCCTGAGGGGATAGTCAATACAAATTTGCATCTGTACATGTTCAGGGTTCTCTGCATAAACAACTCCCAGAGCACACCCTACACATTTTCCACACATCTGTTTTTAGAAGCAGAGCTATCTTTCTCCCTGGATGCTTGAAGTGAATGCCAGTCCACACCAGTCTTTAAGTCTAATCAGGCACTAGCACATATTAATGTTGTTATGTGACTTTCAATAGCAGGTGCATGACTCATTACTGCAGAACATATGACTGGAAAAAGGAGTAGACTGGAATAAGAGCAACTTGTTATGGTCGACAGCTCAACATTTTTTTCCCCCAAGATTCTGGTACTTGCTTGTCGAAACAAGAACTGAAGAAAGCAGGGGGAGTGACAACAAGGCAGCGGGGCATTGATGGATGGATCCAACATGGATCATTACGGATACAGCACTGAGAGCTTAAGTGGGGGGGGATAGAGGGAAGACAGTCATTTCCCTTTTACTGAGATAAGCAAAAACTTTAAAAATATAACACAAAGAAGCGAGGCTTTACTCCAATGTTGTCATGTTATCATCAAACAATTTGTGCTGTAACAATAAGTCGATTATTAAACTGACAGGACATGATTGGTTAACCTGATTTCTTTTACACACTGCTATGTGTCCTATTTGTAAATGTATTGAATATAATGACATTGAAACATTGGTACTGCACTTGAATTCCAGGGCAACAATTCCCTTGCCATGCTGTAAGAAGGACATTTCTAAAATGGGTTAATGAGAATCGGAGATCAATGCCTGGTCCCACAATTGGATTCTTTCATCAGGCCTCCATTTGTATAGTGATGCCTCAGGCTAAAACTTACTTATGTGTAATTGAGGTCGCCCTAAAGCTCTGCTGTAGCCACCACCTAATCATTCACCAACAACCCTTACCATCGGCCATTGCCCTGCGGGCTCCGATCAGCACTTTCTTCAAAAACATTTTCGAGTTACAAGTTGCTAGAATTAATATTCACGTCAGCACAGCATATCCACCCTACCAATTATTTAATCATCCTGGTGAAAGCATACCCATTTTTAATCAGGTTGCTGTGTCCATTAATGTTTCATCAGCTGTGACACACTGTGCTTTTCCTATTAAAAGACCCAATAACCTTGCAATCCATATACAGTTTTTCACAGTGCTGCGAGGAACTAGCTCAGCATGTTTTAGCCACATACTGCCTTTTGTGACTTTATGTTCAGAATTTATAATGTTGTGAAACTATGAACAACATGATTACGGAAAGCAAAATTAAAATAATGATTCGATTCAAGAATAATAATTATCCTGAAGCACGGATGTTTGGTATAAAATTAATGTGTCCTTGTCATTTTTCTATACTGTCAATAAAAGCCTACAAAATATAAAAATGGTAAGAAACTGTGAAATACATACATCTATTTAATATATACAGTGGGTACGGAAAGTATTCAGACCCTTTAAATTTTTCACTCTTTGTTTCATTGCAGCCATTTTCCAAAAATCAAAAAAGTTCATTTTATTTCTCAGTAATGTACACTCAGCACCCCATCATGACAGAAAAAAACAGAAATGTAGAAATTTTGCAAATATATAAAAAAGAAAAACTGAAATATCACATGGTCACAAGTATTCAGACCCTTTGCCGTGACACTCATATTTAACTCAGGTGCTGTCTATTTCTTCTGATCATCCTTGAGATGGTTCTACACCTTCATTTGAGTGCAGCTGTGTTTGATTATACTGATTGGACTTGATTAGGAAAGCCACACACCTGTCTATATAAGACCTTACAGCTCACAGTGCATGTCAGAGCAAATGAGAATCATGAGGTCAAAGGAACTGCCTGAAGAGCTCAGAGACAGAATTGTGGCAAGGCACAGATCTGGCCAAGGTTACAAAAAAATTTCTGCTGCACTTAAGGTTCCTAAGAGCACAGTGGCCTCCATAATCCTCAAATGGAAGACGTTTGGGACGA